TCAAAGGCAGATTGTGATTACCATGTGCTTAGCTTTTAGTAGTAAGAAATAATAGCTACATTTCTTACTGATTATTTTCTAACATTACGGGGTTTCCAGTAATTAAAGAGACTGCTTTCTTGAGGTTCATTTTAATTGTATTATTAGAAAGTGTAACAAATAAAGTAGTTAAAGAAATATAAAATTAAACACCTTATACTTGGAACAGTATGCTCAATCAAAAAGAGAAAGGTTATCAACTAGAAGTTATCTTTGTCAAATTATTCGGTTTAAAAGTAAGAGAAATTTTTTTTTAATAAAGACCTCATGCTTTGAAAAATTAGTGCGTAATTAGACTTGCGTAAGTAAGTGCTACTGCACTCAATTCACCTTGGGTAGTCCATAAATGGGTAAAAATTAGTGTAACGCGTACTAAGATCTACAAAAAAAAAAAACTACTGTACTATTGTTTTCACTGTGGTCCATCCGCTCCCAATATTTTATTGTCTCAAACGATGTGATCCAGTTTTTTTAATGGCCTGAGCAGAACTTACACTACTAACAGTAGAAGAGAAAAGCTTGTTTTGAACAAAGAAAAAGTCATAGAAAAAGAAAAAAGGTTTTTGTTATTTTTCAGGAACTGCCAGGTAGTTGTAGTATTATCAGTAATAAACTAGCATTCTCGTAATTACCACTTCTGTATAAAGTATTTGAAAAAACCCAACATTCCTGGACCAAAGATGTTAGGAAAAATTTAATCCTCTACCGCAATTTGAAAAAATGGAATAAATAAATATACCCTTCAGTTCTTTTTTCAGTATTCATTTCACCAGCGTAGTCCTCGTCTTCAAAATCTTCGAAGAGCTGAAAAGGTTGAGGTGTATTCATATTTTCACTTTCAGTCTCGAGCAAGCAGATTTCGTGAGTGTGCAATGCGCTGTTGCGTGTGGTCTAGCTAAGAAAGCCTGAATAAAGAATATTAACTTATAGTGTGAAAACAAGCCAGTTTTTATTGTATACGCGTCGGTCTAACTTGAACTGATGACTGTGTAGATAAGAAAAGTTGTTGCTCAATTTCATTTTATACTTGTTAGTCTCAGAATTAACGTTTGGTTGATTAAAAATGAGTAAATCCTAAAAAATACAGCAGAAACTACTCACATTTGTAAAATAAAGGAATATATGAACAGTGTCGAGATCATAAAACGCGCGTCATTTGTTAAGCTTTTAAGAACAGTTAATTGCACAGCTTTAAGCATCGTAGCGAAGAACTCAAAGTTGGATAGCCGTCTTCAGTTCTTGCCCTATTTGACAAGTTGAAAAGTTTATTAAAATGTTTTTTTCTAAAGATAAGCCTCTACAGTACTGCATTACCTTCTACTCGTCTTTTGCTCCCATGATTGAATTGACTTAACTGAAACCAAATTAGTTATTGAAATTTGGATAATTCCAATAACTGCTAAGCGTATAAATTTGTAAAATTTAGTTACAAGTTGCAAAATTATGTTTGATTAAATAAAAACAATGATAATAATTTGTTTTTTATTTAATTTAGCTAATTTTTCAGTAATTCGGCAGTGCAGCTGAAAGAAACAATAAGTGCCGGTCTCGCAGTCTTTGTAGTTACTACTTTTTATGCTAAATCTTGTTCATTTGACGAGACTTTTCGTTATTATAAAGCCAAACAACATTTATCTTTGTTGCTTTAAATAACCAAATAAAACTTTGGTTTTTTTTTCCAAAAAACAATTTAGATTTTTGTGCACTGAGCAAAATTTTAGACCAATATATTTGGAAGTTTTAAGTAAGAAAAATACAGCTATTTTGTACTTTTTATCTAAAATGACTGAATAGATCATAACGCAAGTTTTCTTTTTTATATAAAACATGAAGAAACTCTAACGCAATAAAGAAAAAAGATTTTTGAGTACATCACTTGGTATCACAAAATTATTTACAAAAAAGGCTTCTTGTTTAAGAGTAAATTTTAGAAGAAACTCTTGTGAATAAATTAATCGTCAGCTGCACCTGTGTTTACTATACAGATAACTTCTTATGTTTCAATAAACATATTACAGAAAAAGTAAACGTAATTAGCAGCACAAGAAGATATTGATAAAATGTACTTGAGTGTTTTCTAAATATGTAAATTATTTTTTATCAACTAATCTATCTTATTACTGAATGGAAAAGCTAAATCTCTACAAAAAAACAATCGAAACAACAAAGAAGTATTTTATGTAATGCGGTAGGAAAGTTGGTTTAAAAAATTCTAAAGAAAAAGAACTTTTGTTAACAGAGGCAATTTCAAATAGTACATTGCATCTAATAATGTTCTGATATGTCTAACTAAAGCATTTCTTTTGCGTTACAGATTGAGTTATATAGAAAAGAATAAAAAAAACCAAGTCAAGCCAATTTAAGACAATCGGTCGAACAAGTAAACGGAAAATGTCTATTGGAGAGGACAAATATCGGAACCGGTTGAATAGGAAAAGCAGTCGTTAAACAGCAAAACCGAAAGCTAAAACCTATCGGAATACAACAAATAAAATTCGTAGCAATGAAATTTAAAAATGAAAACTGAGTAGAAAGTAGGCGACAAAAAATGCACATTCATTGAATAATTTCCAACATTAATAAAAGTAATAATCTAATCTTTTTATTAGCTTATTCCATATTTCAAACCGAAAAGCACATAATGCAACAGTTCGTTGCCCAACAAACATTTAAACCCAGTTGGATGAAGTAAAAGCACGAAGCAAGTGTTGTTTTATTAACAACGTTAATGCGCAGTTGACTTTAAATGATCTTTCAAAAACGGCTCATTTTTTTAGACAATAAAAGTGTCTAATGAAGCTGAGATGACGCTTAAACGGTTGTTAGGACAAAACCTCTAAGCTCTTGGTATACCATAGTCGTTGTCGTTCTGTTCAGTGAAATAAATTGCACCAATAGACGGAATAACTGAAGTAAAAATGTGGTAGCAGATGTGCTAACATCGGTGATTCTTAAGTTATAAAAAAATATAAAGCAAGGCAAGTGATGGTTGTAAAATGTGTCCTGTTTTCTATTTCTTTACTTTTTTTAACACGTAAACTCAAACTGAAAAAAACTTGAACAAGTTTGCTAAACACTGAATAAGAAACCAATTAAGGAAGCCATTTTATCAAACTTTCACTTATAATTGTTATAAAAAATTAAAATTTGGTTGTTTTATTTAAAGTTTACCACTTACTTT